TAGAATATCCAAACGTAGCCTAAAAATATTAGAATATGGAGAGAATCACATCATTTATTGTTAAGTTATATTGTCCATGAGATTTTTTTTTTTCTTAATATCAATGAATTGAATGTTCAATTTTTCTTCTCGAAGCAAAAAATTTTGTTCAAGTCAAAAAATGATGGAATTACTCTTATTATTTTCGAATTGCCAGAAAATCAATTCGGATACTTCTTGCTAATTTTCATTCCCCAAATTTGATATATCGTGAATCGAGAAAAATGGACTTGTCGCTCGGAGAAAAAATCGAGATTATTTAATTGCTTATCCAAATTCAAATATTTATTAATGATTTTTTTAAACTAAATATTGAGCATCACTGGTGCATTCAGCAATTCTCATAGTGCAGAGCAGGGAGAGGGTGAGCCCTTGGTTGAGGCACTCCAACGATAATTACACGGTGCGAGGGGCCCCAGGACCCCAGAAATATATGTTCGATCGGCCGGTTTTTGAATTATTTGAAAAGAGACAGACCCTTACACACAATCTCAGCCGTCTCGAGAGTACGATATTATAGTTTCGTATATTTTGCCTTGCGATTTTCTCCCACTGTCTGCCCCCTTGATTTTTTTTTTTATTATTGTTTTAAGTTTCTCGTTTTTGCGGGGTCTGGAGGGTTCGGTGTATGCCAGATCGGTCGACCGAATAAATAATTGCCGAATTATCGCAATCCAGGGACGAGTGGTAAAATAATGAAGAGCGATTAATTGCTTACCTAATCACGAGTCGAGTGACAGCAATCGATTTTTCTAAATTAGACTCCGCGCTTTTTTCACATGATTAACTCGAAATTAAATTTTCTTTCACTGGAATTTATTGCGTCTGATTCATTCGTATATTCCACTGTCACTCATGAAGAGACAATTCACATTATTTTTCGCTTCGCACAGAATCGCTAACTATCTTATCAATCAAATGGATAATCTCAAAATTGTAGTGAAGAATGATTTTCAAATGTCAAGGAATCTCTCAAAGATTAAAATCACCCGAATAATTATCAATCTACCGCCAATGAATTGTGGCGAAAAAAAAAAATCAGCGAATAGATCTGAAAATTCAATAATTCCCTGGATAAATATATTCTCTTCTTTTCTCCACGATATTTCAAATTTTTTTGTGCTAGTATAATTGGACCCCGTGGAATTAAGAAATTTTGGTAGAAATTTTTTTAGTAAACCCATTCATCCTCAGATGAATGTAAATTGAATATTCCTGAAAGAAACGTACGTGACACGAGCACAGACACCAGAGACTTATTCCGGATTAACTCTTATATCCTCTTTGTAACTCATTTTCAGTCTCTTTATTTCTTTCCCTCGTACAATTCCCCCCCCTCAATGCATCTCAATATTCTTTTTATTCATTCTCTTGACTCGTCAATTCAGAACAGAAAGATAAGAAAAAAAAAACACACATTTCTACCACTTAAAGAATTAATGCGGTTGGAGAAAAGATAGAATCCGTATGCCATGAGGTTTAAGTGTCAAAAGGGCATGAATGACGAGAGATCTAATGGAACGAATAAAAAAAAAAACCAACCGGAAGTTATTGTTTCATTGGAGGCACTGAACGATTACTCAATTTAATTCAATGTTCTCGGTGAATAAATAAATTTATTTTCTTGAAATAATAATGAACGGTTGATTTACTTTTTTTTTTCTTGTCTGTATTTCTGCGTTCACACGAGGAGTGGAGAATTATAAATTTCTCATGACATTCAATCATTAAAATTTTTCACGGAACCCTGAAACTCTTTCATATTCTCTCATCCATCAAAAAACCCCTTCCCCTCGTCTAAAAAAGTCTTGCACTTACAATTAATCGTGACGAGTCAGAAAAAAATGATTCATTTTTTTTTTTATATTATTTCTGGAAACGATTTGAGTGTAAGAAATGTGAATGATCCTCTGGAAAAATTTATCTCGATAGGGGGAATAGGTGGGACAGGTAAATGATGAGGTGGATGTGTTGATGGTGGGGATGATTAATCGATTTCGTGGATTGAGGTGGACCCCTGTAGTGATGATTTTTTGACGTTTTCGTGTGATGAGAAAAGGCTAGAATTTTTTAGAAGTATCAATCACCTCTGGGGTCTCTTTTTTTTGGAAATTTCGAGTGGAGGTGAGGGTCATGCACCCTTCGGGGTAAAATGATCCTCGGTAAGTCTCTGGAATTACCAAAACAAGAAAAAATAATGGGAAAAACGGTTTTCATCAGATGGGAATTGGGTTTTTAGGTTTTTTTTTTCCGGGGACCTGTGGGTAAATTTGAATAACTCTTTAGTGGAGACCATGGGAAACCGGAAGTTGAGGGTTTTCGTTTTTTTTAATCAAATTCTCTTTACATTTTTTAATTCAGCGTGATTTATGCGGTTGTTAATTTATTTTTGGATTTGATTTCCATGTAGTCTCGTTGAATTTACCATGAAGAGGTCTTTGTACCCTATAACTGGTGAATTCTGGTGTACCCTCGAGTGCTCCACGAATGGGTAGTCTCGAACAAATATATTACATGATAAGGACTTTTTGAGAGAGCGCAGACCTTCTCCGCATGACGGTTTTCATCTCTTTAAATTTCAAACTCTCGTAGTGGATGTTTTTTCATATTTCTTACCGTCCACGAGGCTCTTATGAATACGCGATACAGATATGAAGGGGAAAAATATGTATTGGCCCCCACATGGCCCCCGTCCTTATCGGAGACCTGTAATTTTAGATTTCTGAATACGCGCGTGCGTTTTTCGATGGAAAACACTCAAGTTATTCTATATTTAAATTGAACCGCTGAAAAAAAAATTATGTTTCAAGGACAACCGGCTAAAGAAAATCCCCAAAAATTAAATAAAATTACGTAAAATGAAATTTAATTATGAATTTAATCATAAACAAGTCAGTTTTCGATTAATTGAGAAAAATCGTTGGTAAGAAATCGTTGGGAATAATTCTCTCAGTATTGTTATGCAGATGATTTTACCGATCCCTAGAACATTCACAAAAAAACGTTTTTTTCGAGATTAAACACCGGAAATACCATACGCATCCTAATCCAACACACGGGTATTGAAAAATCCTCGGGGAAAAGGTACCGTGTAAATTTGGAGGGTGTGTTGACCCCAAAAATGCTCCAGACTGTGTGAGGAAAAAAAAAGCGGATGGAAATTGGGGCAACCCTTTGTCTTCCACGATGCCACCCCCCAGTTTCTCGTGGGAAATTCATAAAAAATGCATGAATATATCCAGAGAATACGACTGCCTTTTTTCTCCATAAATAACACAAAAATCATTCCTTCGCGTTGAAAAATTGATAGATGGGAATTGTAAATTGTAAAAATATGAGAAAACCGTGGAATATTACCGTTTAATTGCAAAAATCAATAAATAATGGGTTGTGAGTGCACGGAATAGATTGAAAAATGTGAAATACGAAATCTCTTGAGAAAACACAGCTGGTGTTGCTGGTTTTATACATCAGGGTACAGGTAAAATGCCTGAATGCGGAGGTTAAGGTCTCCCATAGAAATCAAAGCCTTGGAAATAAAAAAAGGAGCGGTAGCCCGAAAGATGTCATCTTGCGCAATTTTGATGTTTTCTCACTCTCTCGTTTCTGTTGGCCGGTACCCTTTTTTCTACCCTTCCTCATGAATTCCTCTTTTGGATTTTTTTTCATTCCACCAGCATCGTTCTGTGGAAAATCCTTCGGTTGAAGCTATCGTGGGGCCAAAAGGGTTGAGACCTCCTGGGATTTGTATTCGTATGTGTATTCGATAACGGATTTTTTTTTTCGCCTCTCGGGGCTCGTAATCTGCATTTATTTTTCCTGAATTTCAATTTAGGGGTGAGATCGATCGACTTTAATTGGATTAATCAGGCATAAAATCGTTCTCAGAATCTTCCAATTTTGCTATTTAATCTTTTGGGAGGAAAATAACTGTAATATTTTTTTTTGGGATAGGGGAAATTTTTGAGGAGCTTTGAAAAATAGTGTTTTTATGTAATCCATCAAAGAATCTACCTGTTCTTCAGTTCTCACATTACTAAACACCCCAAAACTCCGCGATACTGCAATTCGAGTTGATTTTTCCCCCAAAACAGAAAAAAATTCGATCTCTCAATTTCCATTGTTCCGAAAAATTTCTATATTTTTTACGCCTCGTCCTTGGTTGAACCCTTTCTCCTTCCATACGGGTCCTTAACCCCTTTTTTACCCGTCAGCTGCACACGATATTTGGCATCTGTACTCTACCCTTTGCCCGATGCTTCAACTGTTGTTACGTATAACGAAAAGATTTTTTTCTTTTGAGAAAATTGTGATCTCCGGGGTGAGTTCTGTGATTTTTTTTTTTTGGGGTGAGAAAAAATAACCAGGAAGTAAATATTTCGGGTCTCACGATAATCTCCATCTTGATATCATTCTGTTTGCGTTGAGATTAGGAACTAGGGAATTGTCGAATTTTTCCGGATTTTTTTTTTTCACCATTTTTATGAAAAGGTGGGGTTTTATAAAGAGTTTACATCTCGTTCCCTTTCTTATTTTTACACTCTGGTCACATAACACGTTTCAGAAACGTGACTCCGGATGGATAGTCGGGATTTTGCGGAGTGGGGAAAAAACCGTGATCATCAATAATTTTTTCCAATTGTCGTTTTATCGGAAATTGATTTTCCGCACATTTCTCACGAAATTTCATATATACTACATTAATTCCAACGAAAAATCCTTATTAAAAGCACCTCTGATATTACCCTAGTGATAAAAATACAGGGTAAACTGCCCCCAAGAAAGCCCTTTTAATTCTGCAGATGCGATATTTTGATGAGGAAAAGAATGGTATCTATTTGCATCGTTTTCTCGTTAAAAAAATGTAGATATAATTTTTTTTCCTTTTCATTACCCTTATTTACACTTTTTGAATGTCACATTATTTGCTCCCTAAAAAAAAATTTTTTTTTTGTTCCCAGGACCCAGGTACATTTACCGGAAGACGTAAGACTGAACCGGGGAAAACCTGAGGGGTGAGTAAAAAACGGTGAATCTCATATTTGAATAAGATCCATCCTGTTTATCATTTTCTACAATTCTCCTTTATTCTCTGTCTCGCTCTTTACTTTTATCCCTTCTCGACGTAAAACCACCGGGCGACTTCGCGAATCCCTGGATTTTAATCCTTTCCCAAGGGGTCGTGTAACCCCCGGGATTCAACCCTTTTTCACGCGTGACGATTAATTAGAATTTTTAACTGGGCTGAATTCAGGTTAAAATTACAAATTAATTGTGAAAATAATCGAATGACTCTCTGGTTATTTATTCATCCGTCAACTCTCATTCATTTTAAAATTCGTATTTCTCACAAGACAGAGAAAAAAAAAATTCATCCCCAATCGAAAGTGACAAATGAACTTTCCCCGAATAAAAAAATTCATCCCCACATGTACCAGAGCGAATCAGACTCGATTAGTCCACACGTTCGTTACAAAATCGACACAACTTTCTTTCCACTATTTTCACCACCTCGATTTGATGGATGAAGTATTCCAATCATGCGTGAAAATAAATTCATCTACCCGCGAAATTTCGTGCGACCTGATGGCAGTGCAAACACCAAATTTTCATGCATTTTCAGGGGGTAGATTTTTTACCCCTTTTTTATTTCACCCGGGGAACAATTTCTACGGATATCAAAAATTATTTGACTGATAGTCTCGCAAAATCATTAAAAAAAAAATCTTCAATCAATGCCGAGGAATAAAACCAATAAATTCCATCCGCAATTAGCCGAATTACCATAAAGTGGCGTCACCGATCGCCAAATTAATTACCACCTCAATACCCTCCTCTCATCAATGTTTACGTCAACCTCGACAAGAGGAAAAAAAAAACAAATTCCTCAAACGTAAATATTGATGTTCAAGTCGTACGCGCGGAGAAGAGCGAAACTCTCGTCACGCGATCACTTCTCCCGTCTTTATTAAGTGATTCCTCTCATTACCCTGCACGCGATTCTCCACCTACCGATCAACCTAAACCGCCAAAATATTTTTTTCCTCCTCAAATCTTCTCACGTATTTAACCACCGAGAGTTCCTCTTTAAATTCCTCGTCACACAAAACCTGAAAAATGCCGCATAACCTCCCCATTAGCCCGTGCAATTTTTTTTTTAACGAGATGGCGCCACATAACAACGCGAAAGAGGGAAACAAAATTCTTAAAGTACAAAAATAAATGTATTTCTTGTGTCTCCGTAAAAGCCGACGATTGGAAGGCATCCCAAAGGGGGTTATAACATATTGAGAACCCCCGTCACCCCCCTCTGCCTTCCCCCCCTATCTTTGTGAGGATGCGCGCCGATTGGATGTCATAAATCAATTAATTTCTAGTTCGATATATCCAGTAGCTAATTTAAATTCTTCGGGAATCGCTTTCTCTCTCTCTCCATCCGCTGGCCGAAAAATTATCGGTGACAGGTGGGGGGCATGGTTGGGGGGGGCAGAGGGTGGTTGGGTGGGGGCACATGGGGATGAAAGAAGTTAGAGACCCAAGTAATGTTGCATTTATTAAATGCCTCAGGTGGATGAGAATGGTAGGAGAAGAGGTTGGTAAAGAGGAATGGAATTATATGAAATGTAAAAAGGTTATATAAAAATAAGGGGGCGCCACCTTAAGTATTTCTGATCAAATTCCTAACCTGGGTATTCGCTGAGTTGACGGACCCTTCGGCTCTTCATATAAGAATTCGAACTACTTTGTATGGCTGGGTATTTTAGCGAAAGGGGGGCGTAATTTTGTTTTTCTCCCAATTGCAGTTGCTAATCAGCGCCTGCAAGTGGATGATCGATACTTCCGTCAATTTTATTTATTTATTTATTTTTTTTAAGTCGTTTGTCGAAGAGTGTAGACAGAGTGACAGGGGAGGTAGTTGTTAATGAGGTTGAGGATTGCACCGGGTCCAGTAGGGAATTGGTGAAAGTTGATGATTAATTGAGATATTCGTTCGTGATGGGAGCATTAGGCTTAATTTGCGGAGTTGAGACCCTCATTGCGAGATTCTTCTGATCCCAATCGATCAATTGAACAATTTGAGGATTGGTAATTATTAATTACGAATTGAAAATCATGTTGGAACTAATGATTGATTTGAATTACGCGCAGAGCTGCTGACACCTTGCAGTTGTAAATTCCAGATCAGATTGGTTTGTCAAAATTTTTTCTGCCTTACCGATTGCCGTTAAAAATTTATGGGTTTCTTATTTATCGGTCGCGATATCAGATTACCGTATTATAATTGTAAAAAAATCGATCTTATCGACATTAGCTAACTAGTATTTAAATTTTACTCAAATGAATTCGGTATTTTCACTCTCCAAGTTAGCAGCAAAAACTTCATTTTCATTTTAATGAAAATAAAATTCTCCCACCTCAGTACCGAGATAAATAAAAAAAAAAATGAATTTCCATAGTAATTGCGATACTCCTCGCACTCTCATGAAATATTCATCATTCCATTTACAATTTTTCCATTAAAATCGTCATCTTTTTATTTTTACTCATTGTTGAAGAATAATATCCTCATTCCACCATTTGGTACCTTTAAATTAACTTCTGAAGATCTTTTATGGTGCGATAACTTTTACCCGGTGGGAAAATAGGTGTGAAAAATGTGCAGAGGAATGATTTTGTAAGGAGTTGTGAAAGGTGGGAAAATTGAAGTCTCGAGACGTGTGTTTACGGAGGAACCTAAACAAACAGGATTTTCGCGTCAACGGATTTTCAGCGACAAGACGAGTTTTCACCGGATGGGGGGATAGGGGGGATAGGGTGGGTTAGGAGGAATAGGTGGAATAGGAGGGATAGGATAGGAGGAACCCCTTCAGGGTTGTAGGTACCCAGTGTTACGTATACGAGGTTTCAACAAGTTTACAAAGTGAACCTCATCCCTCCTTTGACTCTCTCGTGAGAGCAGTTCGTGTATACTGGTTTGAGTAAGTATACTTTGCGTACTACCTTCAAGACCAGAATATTTTTCACTTTGATTCAGAGACCCATTGCAGTTAGAATATATAAAAAAAAATCCCAGGCAACTTCACTCTTCCATTTTTTTTCATCCAATTCCAAAAGGACGAAAGGAAATAAAATACTCCAAAGAAAAACCAAAAAACGTGACACGTAGTCTGTCGCACGTCGCGTGTTCCATTACTTGTTTTTTTTAATGTAATTGACAACTCTGTGCTTTGTCGAAAACGCACAGTCGAGATAACTGTCTTCTTTCATCCTCGAAACTCTTCTCCACTTCATTTTTACTTTTATCTCTTGTACGGTACTGAAGAAACCGCTCCGACATTTCCCCCTTCTTCCGCAAAAAAAAAAAAAGAGCAATTACCACTTGACAACTCTTCACTGGCTGAAACACAAAGTTTACAAATTATCCATTAATCAATAAAAATTACAATAAGGCACCCACGGAAAATCTAATTATCCTTGTTATTGAGAATCGAGCGAAAAATGTCCCATGGAGTTACAAGTAATAACCGACACATCCGCAATCGGATTGTTCCGTATTCACACGATAAAAACGAGGGGAAAAAAAAAATCGATGATAAAAATTCCCAAGCAGTTAAAAAAAAATAGAGCATTTCCATTTTTGTTTTCGTTTTATTTGAAATCAATAACCGTGGGAGGGCGCTGGTGCTAATTCCGATGTGTGCACGGGTTGAATTTTACCCCCCACAACATGCGCGTTTGTCTCTGGCAATCGGAGCAAAACTAAATTGTGATTCATCCTCCATTAACGCCATGAAAAATAATTCAGGTCGGTTATACCTTTTGTTTTTTCTCATCATTTCTCGTACTTTTTTTCCAATTTAATTTTCGTTTTTTGGTCTCATTTAATGCCACCGTGGATACTCGAGGGGAATAATTTAGCTAATTATCAAAATTAGTGAGTGCACTCTTGAGGGAGTAGTAACTCGAGTCGGTCCATTCACTGCCACGGGGGGTGCTTGGGGAGGAGGGTCGGCGAGAGGTTGGGGGTGGTGAGGGGGGGGGCAATGAGTGGGAGGGGAGGGCACGGAGACTGGATACATAGAGGTCGTAGGTCACGTAGGTCCTTCGAGACCGCAATGCGGAATGCGAGCGACGTTTCCATAATGATAACAATGATGACATTAATCGCGACCAGAGGGAGTGTCACACCGAAAAATATTTAATTAACAATATCGATAATTGACATCAGGGCGAGGACTCTCATTTTTTCCTGGAGTGAAAATAATGCTCATTGACGGGAGGAGAAAATAAAGGACAAAACAATTGTTATCCATTTCACAGGGATAACCCGAGGGATTATAGTACACCTCTTATACCTCAGGTTTTTGGTGGGGGTAATCTCAAAATACTGGGCTTTTTAAAAAAAAAAGCGCCAATGGTTCTCATTAAATGGAGAGAAGAATTGGTGGAGGACAGGAAATTGTCTCGGCCAACCAGAAAAAATAAAAGCGTTAGAGAGAACAGACAACGGTCTTCCGCGCCAACTAAAATAAAGCGTCAGATTAATTTTTATTCTGGGAATGGTTGAGACGACTTTCCGGTTCAACTACTCAGGCGATGAGGGTTGAGAAAGTGGAATAAAACAATCCTTAAGTTCAAGACCTGGAGTCTTAGCTGTAGCTTCCACGAGGAGGTTCCAATCAACGCTCAAGAGGATTTCCACGGTCCTCGAAATAAAACTTCACCGATGAAAAAAAAAAATGAAAAATTATTTCACTTTAATATTCTCTCGACAGTTATAAATCTCGAGATGAAATCGTTGATTTTTTCATTTGACGTTTTTTTTATTTGCACTGCAAATAATTTACAATCCCTGTAATCACCTCTGCATTAATCACCCGTCATGAATTCGACGAGCTATGCATCCCCTCCAGCTCCAGTCAATCCCCCATTGATTCAGTTCGCAATTCGTAATGCAAAAACTTTTAATCGCAACGTTCAATTCACTCCCTGCCACCTCGAAACAAATAAAAAATTAAAAAAAAAAAGATATAAAACGTGCCATTAATGCAAACGGAGAAAAATGAATTGTCCCGCCGCACAAGTGCATCTCTTAGAAATCCAAGCAGTTTAAAACTGTCTGCCGCAAAGTTGTTGCGCTTTGTCTCAACAAAGAAAAATTGTGAGAAAATCAACCATCGGAGCTGCGTCCTGGACTCCAAAAGAGGATAGCGAAGTAAAAAAAAAAATATAGATCGATACCGTTACCCAGATGAGATAGTCCAGAGTAGATGCTCCTTGCACATTTACCACGTGTCTTTAAACTGGGGGAGGGTAAAGAAAATATATAAAAGATTCATAAAAATTTGTGATCGACTGAACTTCAACCTGCCGTCGGAGATCAATATCTCTTGTAGCAATTCCCCTCATCTCACCCTCCGGTGCCATGACCCTAACCTCCTAATTTCCCACCCTGAGCAGTACATTTTCATTGACCCAGAGAACCACTTAGCCCGTGGCAAACAGTTAACCACTTTATTCGGTAAATTCGAATATTTACCGAATCCATTGTCTACCCATTTTTACCACTAGAATCATCCCATTCCCTTGTTCAACGATACAATCTATTCCAATTAACGGCGGGGTAAAACCGCAGGCGTTGAACAAAAAAAAAAAGTTGGTACCGAGTTTTTTAGAATGGAAATACATTGCCGCATTGTTTGGACCGTTCACAAGGGCGATGGTCATTCTGAATTAATTCGAAACTTGTTGGGGTTGAATAGTTTTATCGACTGCTTTTACCTTTTTTTTCACCAGCCAATACGTTAATTATTGGATAGAGAGACGGTAAAGCATGCGCCAAGTACACGTTCGGTACTCGTCTCAGAACAGCTAACCCGAGTCCCAATGAAAAAAGAAATAGAGAAAAAAGGGTTCGGGGGTTTAACGCGGTGGGTGAATTCGTTGTCTCACATTCGACAGGTTGCGAGTTCAAATCCCGTATGGGTTAAGTGAATGGTTGATTTTTTAATCCTGAAGAATTCGTGTTAGCCTATCCTGAGTGGGTCAAGGCGATGTAAAATGACCTTACGATAATAAATCGTGATAATATGGCAGGAAGATGGAATAAGCGACAAATACATCGACCACCTTATACCCCTCCGGATGAAAATTCACGGATCTCCGCGGGATTTCGGTCCAGCTCGCAGAAACGGAGGGCTTTTGCGCGGGGCCTCCCGGGGCTTCTCTCCTGCCCTCACGCGTTTCCCCAGTTCTCGTTCAGTTGTGCGCGCTACCCTGGACGGCACAGGCGCCCAAATAGCCCCACCAAGAGGGGTAGACTTGCCAATTCATCCCCTCATCCTCACCCTCCTCCCCACCAAAACCTTCCCCATCATCCAAAAGTGTATCAGAAGTGACGGCGTGGGCTGCTGGAGCTGCTCTGTTCTGTAGTGGCACTCGCGTGCTTTTCCAAACGCTACGCCGATAGAAAACCACCTCAACCCCACCAACCCACCAGCTCACCCTCATCCCCCTTCACAATCCCACGCTCTCCCACTCTTTTCATTCTAGTCAAGGCGAATGGCACTGCCACCACGGGACCAGTGGTACTTTTGCAGTGTGTGCACACAAGTGTAATCCGAAGCGAGAGTGAGTGCAGGTGGTTTGAGAGAGGAAAAAAAAATTCAACAGTTCTCTTTTTTTTTTTATCTCAATGTTTTAGAGAGGAATATTGCAGGGCAGGTGGGCGAAATTATTCTCCCGGTGATGTGTTCTATTTTGTTGGAAAAATATTGTTCATGATTACTTTTTTTTTCTTTTTCTGAATTTGCCAAGTTCATGTGATGGACTCGGATGATCGATGTGATGGGTTTATTCTTATTGTTATAATTTTTTTGGTTTTAGGGGGGAGTGAATTTTATTTGGACGGAGAGTTCAAGGACTCTGGAACACGAGCACTGGACCATGAGAAGGTAGTGAGCGCTTCGAGGACAAATGTACACGTCGGTACAGCGTTTGGGATATTCCAAGTGAGTACTTTTTTTTTTTATTATTCGCAATAATCATGGGGTAGTTTTGGGGGTGAAAATAACGCGGCGAATTATTTGGGAAATTTTGTGGTTACGCGGCGACGAGAATTTAGTCACGGAGCTGTGGAATTTTATGATTGATTGATCGTGCGTTGTAGTCAGCCATGTGGATTGGTTACTGTTGACGGGTCAAATGAGATTTTCATGTTAGCCGGAAGCCTTTTAATGTTAATAGGAGAGGCAATGAATTCATCGATTTTCGTGATTCAATTTGTTCACGGGGATGCGAGGTATTTTCGATTGTTTTTAATGAACACAGGCGGCTGTTCATTACCGATTGAAATATTTGATCGGTCCAATCGGCACGTGCGAGAGTAAATATTGACTTTATGTTTTTAGTTTTTCATTTTGTTATCCATTTCTATCAAGCTGGGGGGTATTTAACGGTCAGATAAATGTCAAGGTGATGTGAATATCGAGGTCTTTGGGGTATCGTTAGGCGGGTAAACCAATTTAACCACTTTTAGATGCAACTGTCCCCACTTTGGTGAATAGTGTTGAGTTTGTATTCATTTCTACCCCACCTAGCATCGAATAAGCTGTCTCGTTTGGATAGATCCTGTGTAACCACAGTCCGCGGTTAATCCTGACAGGGTTTTCCCTAGTCCCTGAATTTCTAATTAACGATTGAACTTGTTCGATCGGAATAATGAGGATAAACTTGGAAATTGGGTTAGAAATCAATGATTCTGGGACAATATTTGATCGGATGCCATAGTTTAACTCAGTGTTCTCCAACTGACTGGAATTTTCATCGACAAAGGAGAAATGTCTCGACATAAACTTCCTCTTTATCCACAACGACTAATTCATTCTACTTATTGTTTCTCTGTATACATCACGTACTATTGTAATCCCCAAAATTTTCCAAGTTTACCACTCGCTCGACAAAGTTTTTCGAGTCCATCCCTGGCTACTCTCCACCGTCAACTTATCGCGTTACCATTTATCCCGAATGTGCAGTTGCCGGGTTTATATGCGGAAACCCTTGGGAAACAAACCGGAGCGCCACTGGGCCGAGTTTAAAATAGAGTTAACCCACCCCTGCTTCAATGGACAAAGATTTCCACAACTATCGTGTTAACTCAATTTGCGATGCTTCGTCGTGTGACGATACGATTTTTCATTCCATTTCGATAAAATTTTGGTGAAACTACTTGGTGATAGGTTGGGAAATAAAATCGTAATCTCAGTGACAACCCTCATCTGTCCCGCAAGTTCCATTTTTTCTTCTAACAGCTTTAAGTATGAATTTCTTATATGTCTTCCTTGAGGAGGAAAATAGAGGAATTGAAAGACCGGAGGTAAAAAATACTGTTTAAATAAGAAAGAAAAACCTCGAGTATTAAATCTTAAATCTGCTTGAATATGCCATGAATCTGGTACGACTCTCCGACATTCTCCCATTTATCTTCGTACCCTCGAAGTAAAGTAAAACAAAGAGTAAAAAAAGATAAGCGATGATAGAAGAAACAGTGGCCCATGCATTTGTAGATGAAAAGTACCGTCAATTCCTCCTGAATAATGCCCCATGAAATCTCTTGCGGAAGTGACTCAGTAGACGGTTTGAAATAAAAATTGAGCCACGTATCTCGCTTTTCTCTCAGCTTCATGAAAGAGTCAGGTGAAATTTCCGTGTGGGAATACAGTTCGTGTAAAAGAGAACTACAACAGTTTCAGGTGAGATGGCAGGGATTTAACGCCCAAGTTGATCTTACCGCCTTCTTACATACCTATTTTATACGTAAATCCTCGAGGGAGACCACTCACTCGTTTTCTCGTGTGAGATTTATCCTTCTAATTTGAATGTTTCAAGGTGCATTGCCTTTTGCTCCGAGTGAACAAGTTAGATTCCGAGTGATAAGAGACAAAAGCTGTTACTAATGATTCTTCACTATTTTCTTTCTCTTTTTTATTTCGGATACTAGCTCTTCCGGAACAAACTTTTTCTCAGTTGACTTTACATCCTTTGTTCATGTCCGATTCCGGCAACCATTAGTGACCTCTTCCATCCTCACCTTCGAGCTGAACCCTCGGTCTCTCCCGGGATTCACTTGCTCTGAAAAAAGGGCAAGTCTCTTTGTTCATTGGTTCTTTTTTTTTTTCTCCTATCTTTATTTTTTGGTTCGATACTCTAGTGGTGTATTTACCTCGGTGTATCGTCGGGAATCACGTACAAAATGTATTATCGATAGGAGATAAGAAAGAGAGGTTGGGTGGGAGGGGAGAGTTAAGAAGTCGAGTGGATGGTTTATCGGGAATTTAAGAGGTTCCAAGTGAAAATCAAAAGGTGGTAAGAAGTTATCATTGGTGATAGTTTTGATGTGTCGGAGGGAAGGAGTGCGGTGCGATAAGTGAGAGATGGGGTGATAGGGAGTCGATAAATCCTGAGTGATTTACGATCTGTCGTCAATAATGTACAGAGATGTGAATCGTTGATGCATGATCGATAACTCACGGGGATGATTTCGAGGGGGTGTGATGAACTTGACTCGGGGTTGTTTCGAGGGGAGTGTGATGAGCTATGCATATTTGAAATCCTTTAATCTATCAATTTAGGCGGCTTGCAACAGCTATTGTGATGAAGATCGCTTGTGACGGTACAGTTAATTTTTCCGCGGTCGATGCGTAAAAGTTGATAGATTTCCTTCAATTCATGATGATTTAAAAGCTGATAATGTCAGCGACGGATCTTCAAATTTTCGGACTAAACCGATAAAAAGTTTATAGACCGCGACCGCTGAAAGACAAATTCATAACCGTCGCGAAGTCTCATATCTCTCTGTTATTCCCAAATTTTTCGGCTTTAACTCAAACCGTACGTTCGTAAGTCCTTAATTGAATTGTAGATAGGATCTTCAACCATCAGTTATAACCGAAAGCCACTTGACTGCGCAAAAGCTCATATCTTTCCGCCTGAAGATACGATCTTTCGGTTTAGCCAACTCAACGTCGTATATTGCTAATGCCAAAGAATTATATCTGCACTTGAGAGTACCCTCTTTTTTAATTTCCTCCTCCACTTGATAACAGGAATAACCAATGCCAAAAATGGCATTTCGCTAGAAGAACTCCCCCCATAAATTTTTCATGTTTCCAAACGAGAGGAGAAGGGAGGGGAAAAAAAATTCGGAAGCGGGTGAAATTCGGTCATAAAAATATAGTCTTGATATATGCCCTCGGATGCGGTTTTTTGCCTCTCGGTGACTGTATTTATTATGATATCAGAGACGTGGCAACTGCAAGATACAGAATAAAGGAGACGGACTGACTGACGATGTTATTCGCACTCCTGTTTACGTATACATTGGGCTGGGGAATGCTCTAGATTATTCGAGACATCCTGCGACAGTCGGATAGAGATATTCTGGTTCAGTGAATTTTGCCAAATTTTTCCTGACGATCCAATTTCGGTAGGAAATATTGTCAAGACGGGCCCTTCAAGGCTTTGTCCCTTCTTTTGACCAATCACCAATACAAAATCTTGTTTTCGAGAAGTTGACGCGTATCAAGTCAATTTGTAGTCGTCCCCGCTATGAACATCGATGCCGTGTTTCGAGTCTAGCCTCGGTTGATCGCCCTTCACTCCACCCACTTTTACCCTGTAACCAACTCATTCCCGTAAACCATCCAGCCACATAATCCCATTCTCTCCCTCTTTACCCCTCACCTCCAGGCATTCCCTATTTCTCATGTGTACACCATTAGTTTCCATGCCTTTGAACGATTTTCATCGTAGTTTAACCCCCTCGGTCATCGAAGCGTTGTCCACATTGACATTTCGATTTCCAATTCACGTAACTATCGTTGCGTATCTGTGGCATGCAATTCTTTTCCTTTCTCCGTTCTTTTTTTTTTCACCCAGCAATTCCAATTTGACGCCATTATACAACCATCTGCCGCGGTCAATTTTTATTCCATCACCTATTGCACTAAACGGATCAATTCCCATCCAATTTAGATGCCGGGGACGAAGTGTTTTAGAAATTTAGGGGAAGAGGATAGGATGGGTGGACAATTTGCATGGACATGGCTTGTGGAATAGAGATTTACCGAAGTGAAACATGGAATTCTTTGTTGAACCATCAGCGGTTTGGGTTGGCTTGTCTATCATTAATGGCCACAATTTTTTTATTGGTGAATTTATTAGAGTAGTGTAACTGTTGGATTCAGCTGAAGTTCGTAATTTACATTCTGTGACTGGAGGGCCTCGAAATGATAGGAATTTACATGATTTCCATGGGTACAAATTAGAGGTGCGGAGTTTACAAAATTGGTGCATACCATCACCAATTCAGAAGTAATGAAATGGCTTGGCGTGTACCATTGATGATCGTTTCAAAATCTAATATTGTTCGGTAGTGAATAGCATCAAATTGTTGTTTCATGAATTCTGGGAATTAAGTGTTTCTGGGATTTGATGATCATCATACAGTGGTATTACGTTATTTGTGTTCCTAAATTATTTTATCGCGTATTCTTGGATATATCTGTGGAAATAAGCGGCTATGCAACAAGATTCGTTATCCCATTTACATTCTGCGACTGAAGTGCTCTAGAACGAAGTGAATTTGCGTAATTTGCATGTACACGAGTGGAAATTCGAGCCAGCAGGTATACAAAATTGAAACGTGTATCATTCTTTACTCCCGTCAACGAGTTTAATGGGGATAAAATGGTTTTGGTTTAGCCTTGTTCGCATTCGTTGAAAATCGTCGTGGAATTCAACAAATTATTTGGAAATTGATGGATAATTTAATAGTCGTGAGCTTTTACGGCTCCTGGTGGATTCTGGGTGGGCATCACGCGTCGTATTGTATTTAATGAAATGTATTGAGTATCAATCGAGTTTAATAAACCACATTTCGAGCCATTACCGATACCGTTTCGACACTACAACCGTACAAAATGTACCGACATTTACAAATTCCAAATAATGTAACTCGCTTCTCTGGCACTCTGGATATCATGTCATGAATATTAACGTTTTAATTTAATATCAGTGATAATTTATCAATGGTATTAAATGGTATTTTTTATTTATTTGGAATTAGTCCACGCGGAACAGTTGATCCATTTCCTTCAATTTGGGCCCATTTTCAAACTAACGATGTTAGAGACAAATCGCGAGAATTTTAGACGAAACCCATCAAAATTTAACAGACCACATCAACTGGGAGGGAAATTCACAATCATGTCTAAATTCCATATCTCTCCGTTATTTCAAAATTTCCAAACTTTAATTTACACCACTCTTGCCGGCTCGGTGGTCTGGTTATGAAGTGATGAGAATTCACGTTGTAAACCACTGGACACGTATTAAATTAATAAAAAATAAACAGAGAGGTGTAGAAAGGTTCAAAGGGTATTCACATGTTATTCGGTGAACTACATTGTCTGTGGATGAGCGCTTGAAAAAAGTATTTGGAATTTTTTTTTTTCAAAGTAATACATCACTTCACGTGAAAGTACCTGGACGTCCGGAATATTCATCATTTTTATCCCTCAAAAACATGCAGTTGACCTCGGTCCTAGTTAACGAGTTTTTATATAGTTAATGAAAATAAAGTTCTACGATAAAATAAATCGAATCAGTTCGAGAGGATCAGGGGCATCAAGATAGCCTTCCTGCTGGGGGCTTTATATTCATTAAAGACGGTACAAAGTTTCTCCGTTTATCTCGGAAACTTAGTATGTACGCTGTACGCATATATACCATTTAACTAAATTTTCCACATTAATAATTGCGATTAAGTGAAGTAATTTTTCTTGTCGCTGGGTCGAAGCTCGAGGTGGCGTGAGGTTTGGACATTTTTTGAAAAGACAAATTTAAAGAGCGATACTTCATAAACAATATTTAAAGTTATGCTAATTTTCAGGCATAAAAAACGATTTTTCATCTTTAACTTTGAATTGCATGCGACTGGTATAAGAGATGAGCGTGGGTTTTCCCTCCCAACTTTCCCCCAAGTTTCTAATGAAACCGTGTATAATCCCGCACATAACGAAAATAATACGTGAATAGTTAGACATGATATTCGAAACTTGAGTTGTAAAATTTTCACCGGGATAAATGAATGTTGAGGCGGCCAACCGGAGCTGTGAAACAATTATGAAAACCATTATCCTTGAGAAACCTAAAAGTTTGAGGGTCCGACTATATTAAAAATTCTTTCCAAAAGAAATTGTAAAATTCATCTCACCAAAAGCTAAAACTTTAATACCGATGGGACCCTCATGAAATATGCCCTTTGAACTGTAAAAGCTTTAACAGATCTTGAACGACACCTCATAACCCCTGAAGTTGGACGGGTATGGAAGGTTTATAGACTCGAATAAGAAGATGTAGAAAAGCCGAAAGAAAAAAAGTAGACGGCTGTTATGTGCATGTACCATTGGAAATATATGAAATGAAGGGTGAAGAGAGGGAGGTTGGGATTTCACTCGATGTGCACACGCTCGTCTACTCCTCCTTACCCCCAACAGAGTCAAGGGGCGGGGGGACAAGGGGGTGGGAAAATGAAACAGGCGATATGTAGATATGGGGATATATCCCAGGGATATATGTATATTTCCATTCCCCTTGAGGCACTGACGACTAGAAGCATTTGAGTTTAGACCTCAGTATGTGTGTAGGTGCGCAAAAGGTGGGCGCAGTGCGGCCTGCAGATATAGTCCCCCATAAATTTCATCTGCTTGTACATGAGGTTCTGCATGTGCATCCCCTCTGTTGCTGGAGAAGTGAGTTCATGCTTAATATAATATGTAACGTCCACGTGTGCATAAGATGCAGCACTTTGGGGAATACTGGGTGGCACGGAATAGCCGACATCATCAACTCATTTGTGAGAAATGATCAGGTGTTAGCATATTTCCACGGCTAGAATGATAATTAAACTTTAGGATCCGAAATGTTTGCACATCAGAATCCTTTTACGTTTCAACAGAAACATGACTATCCTGGTAACCTAGATTTTCGCGTAGTCCACGCGTAAAAGTTGATAGACGTCCTTCAATTTGAGTTTATTTCCAAGGTGATAATGTCAGGTGTTAGCCAAT